TGACTTCCTTGACTTTGTTCCTGAACTTCTCAGTGCGCATTGTCCACGCCTTCATTGAAGAAAATCTGAAGAATAGTCAGCACCAGAGGTGTAGCTTAAAGTTTCAATTCAGTCCTGGGCAGATTGGCTGTATTTAACCCATGCTTGGACTCTCCTTTGCAGCACCCAAAAAAGGACCCTTCAGGTAAGCCAATGATCATTTTCCCTCAAAAAAGAGACTGAAAATCTGGGTGCATCTTATTCACTGAATAGAGCATTTTTTGCCTCCCGAAACCCCGCCTCCTTCACCAAAATGGCTGTGCATAGCCTTTAGGAGGCTTTCAGAGTGCTCCTGGGGGCTGGGGAGGGCAGAAGTGAGCAAAAAATGGGTCCCCAGGAGCACTCTATAAGCCTCCTAAAGGCTATTCATGCCCTTTTTAAAAAAGAAAATGGGCCCATTTTTGCGAAAACGGGCCTTTTTTGCTCATTTTGGGGGGGCACCGCCCAGGAGCACTCTGCAAGCTTCCTAAAGGCTATTCATGCCCTTTTTAAAAAAAAAAAAAAAAAAAACGGGCCATTTTTGGGAAATCTGCAGAGTGCAAAAACTTTTTTTTTAATTTGCCTCTTCAAAATCTTGGTGTGTCTTATACTCCGAAAAATACAGTATATATCTTTGGGATAATTACATTGATTGAGTAATTCAAAGAGACTTAGCAAATGTAGCAAGTAAAAGATACTGTTCATTATATTTTTAATTACCATAATTCCTGGAATTATGGTCATTAATAATATCCAATAAGATCTGGAAAAAGATCTCCTACTCTAGCAGGGGATTGTTCTAGAAGACCTCCAAGGTCTCTTCTAACTCTGTTATTCTGTTTACAACTATAGCATGTCAGGCTTTTTGTCCAACTGGATCAAAGTAAAAATAGCCATGCTCCCAGAATGCCAATGCTATATTACAAAGATGAAAAAATGTTTGGTGTTTTTTGGAATGTCCATTCAATGATTGCTTGATCCTGTTGGTTGGCATATTTTTAAAATTATGATTGAAGCATGGCTTCTGTGTATTGTAGAAATTATCTCCCTTTCACAAGAAAAAGTCCGAAGGAGTCTTGTAGCATCTTTTCCTACTAATGAAATTTATTAAAGGGCATAAGCTTTCTGAACTGCAGCTCATTTTCATCAGTGGGTAGACTAGCTTAACTGATGCAGGATTTAAATAGCTTGGATGGAGCTGTGAGTGGAGGGGAAGGTAAGGTTGGTTATGCAGACATGTTACATGTGAGATAGATTACAAATATCTTATCAATTAACAATTGGCATGTGTTTTAAAAATCCCTTGTATTTGTTGAGACCTTCAGAGAGAGACTAAAGCCTTTTGAAATATGCATGTTCAATCATCTAGTAATACTGTCAAATTTTTGTTTTTCCAAATTGATCATTGCAGATGGTCGTTTGTTGGGTGATGCTGCTGGCGTACATTATTATACTATAATACTGCTATCCTGTAAAAGTAAAGATTACATGGCACTATTGTGATGGTATATCATAGTTCACTGGAAAAAAAAATATTATAACACCATAATACCATCATGCTATTTTTTATTTATTTTATATATTAGTGTGTTGCCTATAATACTGATCAAAAAAGGTTGGGATTTTTTAAATTAATAATAACACTATTTTATGCTAAGAAATAATATCTTATTAACAATTTTCCAATGCATCCATGTTATGAGTAGTCACTATGCAGGTTGAAAATAAAATGCCATAATTATTTATTTCTTTAAACTATTTGTGATAGAGCTGCTAAGTATTTTTGCTATAGCTGTACCAGGTGCCATATTCTGCTCTCACCATGTTTCTGAGCACAGATCAAGCAGATCGCGATTCAGCAACTGCCTACCGTAAGTTTCAAAGCCAGCTTTTGATTCTGGGAGGGTGAAGGAGACATTGGGTAGGGTGGGAATACAGCAGGGGTGAAATTCAGCAGATTCTGGAGAACCAGTAGCGAACATTTTGAGTAGTTCAGAGAAGCGGCAAATACCACCTCTGGCTGGCCCCAGAGTGAGGTGGGAATGGAGATTTTGCAGTATCCTTCCCCTGGAGTAAGGAGGGAATGGGGTTTTGTAGCATTCATTAGAACCACCCCAACATTTTATCTATATAAACCTAACGGCTGGTCAAATGACCTTCCTGGTTTTATTCATTGTTAAATCCCTTTGATGATATTAAGACAATACTGTTAGTAAAATGAGAAAGTGAGAGAGAGAATGTTAGGGTTAGGGTTAAGGTGACTATTTGACATTACGGGTTTTTTTACAATTCAGATTAACGTAGATAAAAACAGCAAGATATGAAATAGCTTTTGAACTCATTGCAAACTTTACTGTGTTGTAGGTCTATAAGTCTGCTTTTTCGTGTTCTTAGGGAAAAAATCATCTTTCGACATTCACCACAGACCCTCATGATGCTTCATATATTAACATGTTCTTGAGCAGGTTTTTGAAAAACAAAACAATTCAGGTGTTAATTAACATATTATGCCAAACTAAACACTTGGAAAACTTTTTCTTCTCCTTACTTCCTTTGCAAATTCTGAATTTATTATCCACCATATGAATGAAGTAAATGGAAAGCACTATATGAATTGTTCCAGCTCTGATTTGAAGGGCAAATACAGGCAATAGTTGAACAATTCAAACACAGAGACAAACTGCAGTTTCTGTTAATAGAATAGAATAGAATAGAATAGAATAGAACAGAACAGAACAGAACAGAACAGAATTCTTTATTGGCCAAGTGTGATTGGACACACAAGGAATTTGTCTTTGGTACATATATTCTCAGTGTACATAAAAAGACAAGA